TTAATGATTTTAATTGCCATTATTTTTATAGATTTGGTAGCTGGTATAGATGTTAACACACAAAATGAACACATAGAGGAAATGATCAATCGACAGGTTCCACTCAAATTTTACGATTATTATGTCTACTAAGTCTTGTAAATGGTGGATTGAAGCAAAAGAGTATCGAATTTTTCAAAAAAATAGAAACTTGAATGTCTTAACCAGGGTTAGCACGAACTGGTCAATGGCCAAGCTTGACCAGACCAGTTTGACCAATTTGACCAGTTAGTCAAAGGGTTTAGTATTGTTCAAATTTGTCAAATAATATATAAAGTATATATTTATTTATTTATTTATTTATTTATTTTGTATATTAAAATTATTTATTTAATTGACTAGACCACTTGACCAAACCAGTTTGACCAACAAATTTTTGGTCGACCAGTGATTTGACCAACCCTGGTCTTAACATGTTCTCTAAACAATCGTCTAGTCACAATCCATATGCTTCTATTCGTAAAACTTTGCGATGAATTTTGGATGAAGTTGAAGAACATAATTCTCAGGATATAGCATATGTATATTCTGGATATGCTCCTTTAAGCGTACGTTTGATACAATGCGCGATGACCATGAGTGGATCAGCTTCGACTGGTAATGGATGGAAAGGATATGAAGAGGTGTTGAGAATGTTGCCAGGTAAAACTTTCGATGAAGTACAGAGGCAAGAAGAAAGAGCCATACGTCCCAAAAGTAAGTACACACCATATGGGGATGCAGGGGATGGGACTATATATTATATAGTCCTATCCTCTGCTTTTGCTGTGGGTGTCCCCATATTTGATTTATAAATATAAATATACCGTAGTTTAATTTTTATCGGATTAGGAACGGTACAAGGACAGCATCCACGTGTCACACTTGTATTCTTCTTGGGTGGATGCACATATATGGAAATCTCTGCAATACGCTTTTTAGCACAAGATGATGGTATAATTTTTACTTTACGTTCTTTCTCATTATTCGGAGCGAAGCAGAGGATCTGCATTTGGCTTCGGACAATAGTTTCTATTTGTCTAGTTTATTAAAAATTACTAACGATGTATTTATTAAACTTATTTTAAGTCAGCGAAATATGTTATCGCTACCATACAATTATCAATGGAATTCTCTATTAAATTCAATCATGTCTTAACAATAAAGTCGCCAAGTTACAGGAAATAGGCTTGGCTACGAATTAACGACTCTTGTATTTTAGATAAATTATTGGATAAATAGGTTTTTTTATTGTATTTTAGATAAGTTATTGGCTTTTGGAATTTGTATAATTTTTAAGTGCTGCGTACTACAGTTAATAGAGATGTGCCCACTCGCGAAATGCTGGCATCGTCCTCGTGTGAATCTATCATATGATATATCTCGCGCAAAATAAATTTTTAATAAAGAAAATCTTAGTAATCAGTTTCCACCCCGGAGGTTCATCGTTCTCAAATCTTTACGGAAATAGTGTTATATATATTTTTTCTTGGTTAAAAAAACCCTTACCG